CAGACACCGTCAAGTGTATACATAACCTATAATGGTTTACTTTTACAAATTGTGACTTGGATGGAGAGTTGTCTCATTGGCACTCATACCACATCTTCTTATATCTATGATAGATATACAAAACCTAGTGCATGAGTGGCGTAGCTGACATTAAGGATGTGGCAAACACATTTTAGTGAAGTGTTAGCCAGGAGAGATACGTGTATTCCAAAATGACACAACACGTTTAATTCCATTAACTTGAAACAGAGTTACCTATTAGTCCAACTTAATCGTTGTTTCATTAAAAAAATGACGAACGTATAGTTACGTAATAAAATTTTGTATTAGGAACGGATAAATTAATATACATGTGTACGTTGTAAAAAATATTCAAACATGAGGTTAGAACTGTAAAAGTGATAAGAGGCTTGCACCTATTTTTAATCGAATACCCTGTGTAAGGTGAATGACACGCTTTCTGTACGTTAGAGAACATCGCAAGAAATCTGGGAAGGATCGTACCTGCAGGGAAATATTTCTGTATCAATCCAAAATATCCAAGTGACAGTCCAAAGGTTTTGCCTTACATACTGACTAGATTAAATTTGATGAAAAGACTCCATGCGTTGACTAGTATATAGAACAACAGTCGTCCCTGGAATTCTCCAATTTGGCAGTAGCAAGAGATGTATAAATAATCAGTCGCATCCGATCGGAAAAGGGACGTTAAAAACACAATGCATCGTGTAAGGGGAGTGTATTTTAAAGAAACTCTTTCAACAATTCTTTCAGGGGTCCGTATACGTATGTGATCTAAGACAAGGGAAAATCATTGCTGCCCTTGTTTACATTATGCCCTCCATCTTCAGTTGAGTCGAAATTCTTGCACTTCATCGTTGTCGACCCACCCTGCAAAATGAATCTATTCAATTATTGTTAGTATGTTCTCGTCCTGATTATGTACGGAATATTTCACCTAGACAAACAACAATCAATCAATCAACCTGTATACTTATTAACTTTTTACATCTGTAAATACTAGTACTGAAAGCTCGTCGAGTTTCAGAAGCCGGATTTGTCCTTAAACCATTCACTCACTTCGCGTTGTTTGTTTCCGTGCTTAGGCGTTGACTTCCAAGGTCCAAATCGAATGTCTCACTTGAAATAATAGTCAAGCTAAGCCACTGATTTGTGTACCTTCGTTATTATTTTTTTTTATAAAAGAGATAATAACAATAAAAACATTAGCTTGCATTAATTACTTTTTACAGATTAAAGGGTTGAGAGAGAAAAAAACAATAATCAAAGGGTCCAGTAAAAAAAGATATTTTAAGAAGGACAGACTTAATGCTAAACTGAAGAAACTGAAGAAAATGAATATACACTTATTTAGATACAACATAAATCTATAGCAATACGATGTTCTGGTAAGAGAAGTAAAGATCCTTAGGTTAGTTATAGTCAGTAACAATTCTGGACAGACGAAAGAAGGACAGAACATGAACAAATGGCAGACACTCGTCAGTATTTAGTCCTCAATTTAGCATGTAAATGTCAATTTAACGTACTTATTACAATAGGCGAAACCACATTTGAATTTTTCGAATAGTTAGATTGAAGATTAAATTGGAACTGTTCATTATAATTTTTACAATTAGATTGAAAGTAAGATATAATTAGAATTAGTGTACATCCACGAATGAGATGTAACACAATACTTGGAAATGGACGATGTAGACCCAGTAATATGTTCTAATGACAAAATAACATTGATCGTGTTCTCATATATTAAAACATTCAACTTAAAACAAAAAGTACTTGTCAACGATTTTAAGGGTACATCATTCCTTTTCGGATTGGTCTGAAACATGGACGAACGACCGATTATTATAGCTGTTATTGTACATTGTTTAGCTACATGTATTCAGTTTCTATCAGATTTATGGTAGCTATTATTTTGCCCAAGGAAAATAATGCGCTAGACAAGATACTGCAGGTATAAATAACTGTTCCGTTGATAATAATATGATAAAACTACAATAAGAAGCTCTTTATAAGTAAAACAGAAAAAATTAGTTTAAGGAACTTACTAATCTATGATTAGAATATTATTGATCAATTTGTATTGTTTAAATGATTCTATTTGTTTATCCTCTTAAAGGTCATTTTATTAGATGTTCAAACTCGAATGTTAATCATTTTAGTATACATGTGTAATTTGCAAGTTTGCATATTTGTATATGTTCAAATCTGTTTGAATATGTGATATTTTTCAAAACTCGAGTTTCAAGGATTGCTAATTATTAAGTTGTAGATTGTATGTTTAGTTACTAAAATATAATTTACGTAAAGTTGATGATTATCGTTTTAACCATTTATAATCATTCACTCCAAAAAGGGTACTAGCTAACACTTCAAACGGGTAAAAAAAAACCAACGCTTTTGCATAAATGAATTATGCAGTTGAGAAAATATTGAGATGTATAAAACTTAATTCATATACATGTATGTACATTGTAGAAACAATGGTACATGGGATATCCAACTCAGGTATTCAAAAGTATAAAGCAGATGTCGAATGAACTTCAACAGCAACCCAACAGTACATGTGTGTAAAAACAAAATAATTGAAAATGAAAGTCTACAGATATTTTGCCATAAAATTACATTTTACCCACATGTATTCTAGAATGGAACTTATCCAAATTTTCAGGTAATTGGGCCACAAAAGCGTCTACGTCGAACCAGTATTACCATATTGACATTTCCTTTTTGGTAAATTATTTAAATGACATCAATTGGACTTTTTAAGGTTTATAGATCCAATATATGTCTGTCATGCTGCCTTATCTACTCCACATTAACGTTAAATCAACCTAAAACTGATTCAAATTACAACGAAGTAAATATTTAGTCACACATTTTTAAGTTACTTTTCAATTAGTAATCCTTTAACCTGCCTACAAACATATTCAAGAAATACCGGCAACTTACAGTAGAAATGAAAGCACAGTTCATAACCAATCTTATCTTAAAAGTTACTTTTTGAAACATTATTGGCAAATGGTACGAATTCGAAACGATTTTTGTTTCAAAACACGATGCAAACATTTTGATTGATTAATTGATGGAAACTTTAAAAGTAAACGCCCATCCGTATGAATTGCATACTTATAAAGAACGATTACAACCTCATGTAAAATGAAGATACTCTGCTTTGTACTAATCCGACATGCTGTGTCTTAAGTTACGTGTTAGTTCACAATGTAACCATCCACAGGAAGACATATTACCCTACATGTACGGACACATTATTCCGTGCCAACATGTCTTTGCTCTCGCGTGCCTGGCGGAAAGCAGAGAATACCAATTCTAAGATCTTCTTTTAACCCGATCCCCCGCACTCGAAGTGGTCACGCCACCGTCAGAACACCGCGGCGTATACGTTTTACCGATATATCTGTCGAAAATCACCAAACTACACGCATATTAAAATGTCATATATATACGTGTCGAGTAACCAAGTTTAAGTATTTTAAATGTAATTATTTCAATGATACATTGCAAGTAAATTGTCAGTAGATCAAGTTAATTAAAATATCCAATTAAGCAATATATATATATTACATGCACAATTAAAAGTATTTAAAGAGATCGCTATTTGGAGTTTTCTTTTCTACTCTATTTGATCACTGATCGAGATAGACTAGGATTATACATTTTAATGACCACTCAAGGAATAATACTCTGTAACCAAAATGTTGACCTTACCACCAAGCAAATAAATTGTACCTTTTTGTAATTATTTGTCCTTTAATTTGAAAGAACATTTGATCAAAAAGAATCTTAAAGGTGTTTAAGTATAAATGCTAACTTAAAATCTGGTCTTATATGTTTTACTTGTGGTTTCCTTTACTTTGCGAACTCTGTCCTTTGATAACTGTTTTGACAGGAAATTGTATTTTGATTTTTCATTCCAATTACATGTTTAATAAGCTTTTTGAAGGTGTTGATCAAATGAAAATACAGTATAAGAATTAAAATAAACTTAACAACTTAATGCAAAAAGGAAGGCATTGAGCTAAATAGTCTGGCCATGAAAGTTATCAGGTACACTGAAGATTTGTGCCTCTTGTGAGAGAGAATATTTACATTAATTGATTATATTATAAACAATAATCTGCCGTAAAACTGACAAAACAATCTAAAAATATTATTCTGTTCAATATATGTCGGCATTTTAAAAGTTTTGAATTGACATGTGATCTTTATTGGATGATATTCAAACATCAACAGATAACGATTATGATTTCTTTTTTGGTATAAATTTGATTTATTCTTGTAAAATTTTTACAAAAATAAACAAATGTTTCACAAATGTTTTCTGAAATCATATACAAGCTTGGTTTTATTGTCGTTCGCTAAATGTTTAGTGGCACTTGAAATATTTCAAGTTAGTTCAGGACGAGAAAACATTAACGAAAACTCTTTGATGAACAGCGAGAATTTTTGTAAAATGAATTTGGCTTACAGCAGGCCACATTGAGAAACTTCAATTGTTGCAATGGTTCTTAAAAGTGCCGAGAGCATGACACTATCCCATTCCTACCGGACGTGGCTGCGTGTTATAATGGAATATACACCCTACATTTGGGTGTGGTTGAAGGCTCGGTGGTCAAAGTATTTTAAGTAAGTCATCTGCATTTATACTAGACTGACAAATCTTGATGTGGGTTCGAACCCCGCTCGTGGCGAGTGTGTTTTACCCCGATTTTATTAAAACTTTTCTACATCTTTCCGGATTGTTTTGTACATAAATCAGGCCGTTAGTTTTCTCGTTTGATTTTTTTTACATTCGTCATTTCGAGGCCTTTTATAGCATGTTATGGGTTTTGCTCATTGTTGAAGGCCGTACGGTGACCTATAGATGTTAACTTCTACTTCATTTCATTTGTTTTTAGTAAAGGTTGTCTAGTTTCTTATTCTTATGTCATACACCAACAAACAAACGAACAGTCCATCTGTAACTGATGATATATTATTTAAAAAAAAAATAAACGAATAAAATAAAACGGTACAAAGATATTAGAAATAAGAAAGAAATGTGCCCATTATGTATAAGTAAAAATTGTTTGAGTGGGATAAGAGAAACAATCATATGTACAAAAGCTATAAACAAAGATTATTATTGCTAAATATTTAAAAAGAGCGATCTTTAATCAATTCAATATTACCTACAAATATTAATTTGAACTGGTATTTCCGTTAATTGAATTCATTAATTAATGGTTTTATCTTCAAGTATTTTATTACAGGTGCGTAAAATGGAAAACAACATTTATATTTTCGAAACGGTGTACCAAAATTATCATTTCAAAACAGCATGCTAAAATAACCTTTTCAACTGATACAAGCCTATCCGTTTATAAATACACGTAATACATGTATGATATTAAATTATTCTTTTTAGGACATGAATAGAAACGTTTTCATCAAACATGAATAAGAAAGGATATTAAAATTTAATCAAAGTGAATTGCATGTTCATACGTAATATGCTTTCATAATGTCAGTGTTATTAAACAATGTAGTTTATAAGACATGTATGCCAGATGAATACAAATGACGTCGGTTATGATCAAACCGTGTTGTATAACATTGATAAATGAGCACTACATGTATTTAACCTTTGTAAAGTCTTCCTATGATGAAACTTCACTAAATACACATTGGTTATGTAGGATTTTGGATTAAAGTCCAAAAAACGTGAATGTTGAAATACAAACAAAAGCATTAACAAGTAAAACATTCAGATATTTATGATAACATGAATAAATTCACAACCAACTTTGCAAAATGGAGATAAAATATTATAAACAAATTTCTTTATTTCAAAAGAATGTGTTTTTTTCTGTATAAACTACATGTATGAATGAAAAGCTCAAATAAATGAAGGAAATTAGCAACCCTGATACGAGAAACATTTCCCTTAAACATTAAAATAATTCAAAACAGATCTTAGAATAAAACATATCTTACAATTAAACAGATCTTAGAATTAAACATATCTTAGAATCAAACAGATCTTAGAATTAAACATATCTTAGAATTAAACAGATCTTAGAAGTAAACAGACATATCTTACAATTAAACAGATCTTAGAATTAAACACATCGTCATTGAACTCTATTTACAAAAAAAATAGGATTTTTTTTTCTTCAAGTTTTAGAAATTTTTGTAGCCAGTTGAGCTTGCTTAATTCTTTCATTATCCACAAACAATTTTACAGAACGAGATACTGGGTGCTTTTTATTGAATTCCTCCTGTGACCTACAGAATGCTTTAATCCTGTCTTGAATTCCAGACTTTGCCACTGAAGAACTTGACGAATGATTTTGACTTACGCCAGAGTATTTTGAACTATGAAGCATTTCTACTACACCAGGAAGATCACTACAATATTTCGTTTCCACTAAATTGATAAAGTTTTTTATTTGTGCGTCAGAAAATAAGCACACGGTATGATGTGTGTTTGTTACATCAAAATTGGTTTTCATCTCTATTTCATACTGTTTAATTATCCTCTGTATCCTCTCACATGTTCCACATAATTTGTCATGTTTACAGTCATTATGAACGGACGCTTGCTTATTGAAAACCGGTCTTTCTAAATCATGTGATGGCATAGTCGCTGGCAAAGATTTCGGTCGAGATCTTGGCGAGACAGTATTCCCGGCAATGTTTCCATTTGATGTATTACAATTTTGTAAAACACGGGCGGATCGGATTCTAAATCGACGTTGGTGTTGATTATACTGTTTTTCGAACATAGTTTGTTGCTTTGCAAAGTGTGTTCGTAATGTATCTAATCGACTTTCTTCCGTTTTATTCAATTTTCTGGCTTTTGTTTCATTTTCTGTTTGACCAGCAACCATTGGGATACCAATATTTCGTTTTGTCTTTTCAAATTCGAACTCTGGTATTTCCGATGAGTATTCACCATCCGCAACAACACCATTAAATAACTGCTCTTTAGATGGCAAATCTCCAGTAGAACAGCTTAGACTTGGTAATGATGTTAAAAGTTGAGCTATATCTGCCTCGCTGTGAGAATGCTGGAACGATACTTCCTTCTGTGCAGTTTTCTTAGAAAATGCCATTGTTACAACAAAATAAAATATAACTTAAATATTTAGAATATCAAATGGAAAAATACACATACAGTCACATTTTGAATACAAATTCCACATAATATTCAATGAAATCTATAATTTAAAAAAAAAACTGCATATTCCACAATTTACAAAATCCTCACAAATATATAAGGTAAACTTAGGTCAGTTTTCTCTCCATGTCATCGTCATAATCTGTTTATTTTACACATATTCGAACCATAGATAACGAGACTAAACTTTTCAACACTGACGATTTAAGCTCAAACCTCAACAGATTTAAAGCGCATAGTATAACTGTCAATCATAGAGAAACGCATAAAAATTATAGTATTGTATATCTAATATGAAAGGTAGTCGTGTTTAACTTTAAAAACGTTATTGGTTTTAAATCAATCTGGAAACTTTTAATAAGCTCCTGTCGTGCCTTTCAACGACAAGTAATCAATTTATCAAAATAGAATAAGACTAGAATAAACATGTTGAAGTTTCATATCGATATTTAAAACTATTGAAGATTAAGATCTAACATTTTTCTACTAAAAAGTATACTTTAGGATATATTGATCAAAATTTATGACACGAATTTATGTTTCGATGCAATATACTCGATTTACAGTATTTTTTTTAATAGATGGTTTCTTAAATGTATAGGTTTTTGTAAGGAAATTATACATATCAAATACAGAGGTTTTTTATAAAGAAGACACAGCAAGCATGCAGATAACATCTTAAATATTTAATATGTTTAAATGTCATAAAAGTGGTGTATTGAAATGTAGTCATCTGTATGTAAAATGTTTTTTGTAAGAAGAGAAATAACACTGTGAGTGTATGATCGTACAAAATTGGATTAGAGACGACGTGGTGAAGGTTAATATGGTTGGTTAACGTTCAGTGTGAGGTCTCAGAGTCTTCGAGTACAAAATATAATGAAAAATGAGTGTTTAATGAGATGTAAGAATTTATTAACGTTTTCTCGTAAATGTAAAAATTCATTAAAGTTTTCTCTTAAATTTCCTTTGGATCATGGATTGTAATGGCCGTACTATCATGTTTTACAATACATATAGTTACTATATTTTGCAGGTTTAGGTCATATTGTGTAAATGTGTCTGTCAATCATTGGTTTTTGCCACTCCAGCTGAACCCTAAAATCTCAACCAAAATGTTGGAATAGAAAAATGATCACTGGAACTTCCTGCTGTGATTTTCTAGAACAAAACATTTTAAGTATAAGAACACTTATATATCTTTTTATCTTTAGTAAATCCTTGATTCACCTTGGTAAAGTTGGAGAATGACATGTTATGGAAAAAAATCGTACCTCTCTTTATGGTTTCAATTCCGGAAATAAAATTCTCACCATTTTCCCGACGGACCTGCATATTGAATGCATATTGATATGCTATGGCATTCATCACCAATAATAGCGCCTGCATTACCGTTTTCCATGTTTGTAATTTTTTATAAAAAAATACAAAAAAAAAATAACAATAATCCAGCATCGAAATGCACAGAATTGTAATATTACGTACATATCTAATACACAAATTCCCATTGACCTTCATTAAAGTTGAAATCACCAAACTTAACCATGAAATCTTGAACATCTTGAAATTTCGACTTCTATAAAATGTTGAAATTTGGCTCTTAATATAACCCAAAATAACAACTTGTTACAAAATATCAAGAATTCTCTTGACAGAAAAATAATCATGAAAATAACAATAAGTTTATCGAAGGCTCAGAAAAGCTCTTAGACTATTAAAATAACATTACATTTTGTTTCATTAAAAAGTGGCAGACATTCATTTTAATAAAACCTTGTCGCAGATGAGGAAAAATTAAAACATAGCTTCATACAACACTTTAATGGATGTGTTTTGCATGACAGCAAACAAGGGGAATACGTCTGGTGATATTGTTTATTCCAATTATACTGAGTTGTACAAAAAATACGACTATTACAAAAATATAGCTTATTTTCAAGCGGATATGTGGGTCAAGATTGGCTCTGGAAAAGGGATATTGATCCTTTAGCGTAAATTTCAGATTGCATTGGTATTTTAAACAGTTGTTAGAACAACAATGCAAACATAAATGTTCACGTTGTTTTAGACTCTTTGTTAATTGTGTTATAGGGGTGCTGTCAAGGTGACACATCATTTTATTCCTATTGATTTATTTTTTTCTGAATCGTCCAGTGCAAACTATATTTTATATAAAAACAAGTGTGGACACAGATGAATGTGGATAGTATGTCTGGATGTTTGACAGTGTTTTATATGACAAAAGGAGTTCTATGTTTTTCCTATATGGTGTTATTAACTGTGTTGCACGATGACAACCAACCTGAGCATGAGGAGTGTTGTTTATTTAATATTTAGATTTTATGTTCAAGAGGGCATGGAAGAGACACTAATTGCATTAATGACCAAATGATTATGATAGAATATTTTCCACATCTTTGATTTTGGATAAATTTTGTAGCTAGGAGAGCAACACATAATAGGTTCATTTTTTCATGTGATTTTTTTTTAAATGGGAGATGATATCTGAGAACATGATATCAGGAGGCTGTAATTCAGTGGTTGTCGTTTGTCTATGAGTTACATAATATTTGTTTTTCGTTTATTTTGTGTACATAAATAACATAAATGACTATGCGTTATGGGTTTTGCTCATTGTTGAAGGCTGTACGTTGACCCGTAGTTGTTAATTTCTGTGTCATTTTGGTCTGTTGTGGAGAATTGTCTCATTGGCAATCATACCACATCTTTTTTATATGTATTTGCTCACTATTTGTATGGTTCTATTTATATTACTTTGTGGTGGATTGTCAGTATCATTAGTAAAATATTTTGTTAAAATGTCGAAATTGTTTCTCAGATTAGAAGACATTTATTGGTTTTTAGTAATGAAAATGCCTGACATGATGCTTGGGGCTAGATGAGCTAGAAAGTAAACTTCTGTGTTGTTTTTTATCAATTCTTTGATAACATCTCCTCCAAAGCTGGCCGAAGCAAAAAAAAGTTTTGACCAATATGAAAACGATATCAACAAAAAAACCTTTGTGAGCATGCTTCAAAGACTCATAACTGCTCCAAAAGTAATCTGATAGAATTTCAAGCATGTCAAGTGGGTATTATGAAAATCTACTTAATATGTCTAAATATCAAAAAAGTTATAGTATTCAATATGAAAAAGGTATTGCAAAATTATTCTCTTTTCATTTTTTTTTGTTATATGGATACAAATATAAGTGATACCAATACAGTATTTGTTGTGGTATGAAAGTGTAGTAATTAACATTTACTGTAACAATGTTAATTCACACAAATTAAGAAATAAACAAATGAATGAAAAATGTTGAACATGTACAATGAAATATAGTTTTAGAAATCAATTAGGCCAGATAGGCCTTATAAATTTTTTTTTTTTTTTTTTAACATACTGAATGACCATTTACACTCAGGACCGAGTCATCAGTAGGCAGTACAGATGTATTAAAACAACCTAGCATCATATTGCTAGTAGCGAGTGTAGCATTGTCGGGTAAATTTGTTCTTTTTTTAAAATTTGGTTAAAGGACAAAAAATGTTTGGTTCAAATCATAATAAAATGCTTTTATCTCCTTATTACTTACATTGTACATAGAATGAATACTACCCTGACAAATCCTTGTACATGAGAGTTGTCTGTCAAATCTTTATTTCACAAAGAATGAATTGCATAACAATGAACTGAGCTCAAAGCAAAGCACTTTAATAATACACTTAGACAAAGAGCTCAATCCAGTGATATACTTTGTACTACAGGTCCTTCATGAACATCCTATCCACCAAAACCATATCTCACAAACATGCCATACTACATGTACATGGTTCAATCAGAAGTCCTGAAAAAGATATGAATTTTATTATCATATTTTAATTATACATATTCAGGTTAAAAGTTATATACTCCAATGGCAGTCTTTCCTGCTAAAATGTCATGTGTAGAATGTGATATATCATTTTTGGGTCTATATGGGTACTGTCCTTTATATTCATTAGGTCATTTTGACACAACAAAATATATAGAAAATGTTAACTTTGATCTGGAAATTGAGTTCTTTTTCGCAAAATAAACCCACTTAAACTAAACTTTGAATGCAAAAGACCCCTAAATGGCTAACAGATATTGCTATAAAGAATAGTCCATGATGATTATTGTGATTAAAGAGTTCATGAAATGTACACTGATTCTGTCAGTTGAATGGACTAGAATGAGATAAGTTATATAAACATGAAGGTTTTTTCAACAGTTGTGGTGTAAATTAAATCAGTTTTATTTTATGGTTGACATATTTAAGTATATATGTAGACCATTGGCTTTTCAACACATTGATATTTTACAATATCGATTATCTATTTATTGTTATATTGTTGGTATTTTTCACCTTCCTAAAACAGTTATAACGCAACATGAACGCAAGCTTAATAGATCTTGATAGGGTGTCCTCACATATTTTGACGTTGCTGAAAAATTTTGGTTAACATATGTATCCTCTTCTCATCGTTTTTCGTGCTATTAAGAATGCATACTGTCGTCACAATTTCCATTGAAAAGGCATGCATAGTACAAATTCATATGACCAACGAAAACATATGATCTGACCATATACATGTACATGTATGTATAGGTTATCAGCTTTTCTACACATATTAGCCAGTAAGTCGCAATGAACCTATTATGGCGAGTGAGCGCAGCTAATGAGCTAAAATGAATCAAATTGTGTCCTCAGTGGGGGATATTTTAAGGGATCTATATGAAGAAAACCTGATCATCTGTTTATCGTTCTATTACTGGCTTTTTCACCTCCCTAACTTGGCCTAAGACAGTTTTTACAGACGAAAGCAAGCTTGATAACTACTCCTCACACACATGTATAGATTATCGGCTTTTCTACACGAGTCATGAATATCGTAAAATGTTAGCCAGTGAGCAGGCCCGCAATGAACCTTTTTAGCGAGTGAGCCCAGCTAATGAGCTAAAATGAATCAAATTGTGTACTCAGTCACAGTTGGTGATATTTTAAGGTATCTACACAAAGAAAACCTGCTTATATAAATCTCAGTGGCAGATCCACAACTTTTCATAAAAAGGGGGTGGCCGCTGACTGACCTAAAGGTTGCCCACTCCCGTCATGCTTCCCCAGTGGCGGATCCGGGGGGACGGTTCCAAGGGTTGGAACCCCCCCTTTTTTTGGACGATCAATGCATTTGAATGGGGACACATAGTTGGAACACACACCCCCACCATTT